TGCCCGGGGTCCCCGGGCCCCAGCGGGGTGAGGGCACGGAGCTCCACTCGGGACGCCGGGGAGCGCGAGAGCGTCGTAGAGTTGATCGGATCTTGAGACCCCGCTTGGGCAGTGGGGTCCCACTGCCTCCCCAGTCTCCCTGGTCCGAGGAGGGTGGTCGGCAGCGTGGCCCCCCATCCTGTAGGGCTGGGGACCTGGGCCCAAGAGGGGACTCACAGTGGTTTCCCCTGCGAGGTAGGCACTCTGGGAGGCACTTTGAGGGGTTTGCAAGCCATTGGCCTGTTCTGCGAGAGCGGTGGCCTTGCGGTCCCGCTGGCCTTGGCTGGGGCCTGTGCTCCTGTGCGTGAGGGGAGGCAGGCCCTTTGGTTTTAGATGCTCAGGCACCTGGAGCAAAGTAGGGGGACCTGGGGCTTGAGGGGGCTCCTGGGCCCCGGGCAAATGCACTGCCTCAAGTTTGGAGGCCGAGGGAGCAGGAGCCAGAAGCAGCCGAGGGGAAGAGGGAAGGAGGGAGGTCCTGACAGGTCCTTGGCGTCTTTTAAACAGTACCTGCCTGGTGTTCTCCCGTTTTGTGGGAGAAATGGCCAGGCACAGGCACTCGCCCCTCCCCCCGACCTCCTTCTCCTCCCCCTGGCTTGGTTGGGGTAGGTGAAGAAATGGGAAGAAAGTCAGGGTCTCCTTGTCTCTTCCCGGCCTCCTGCTCTTGTTTGGTTACAGTGGTGAGAAATGAGTCCAGGTTCTGTGGTTGGACAGACGGTTGCCCTGATTTGAAATTTCTAACCGTTGCCTCGCGTTGCTCTGGGGAGATAGGCTGGTGCTGTGGAAAGCAGATTTGGGATGGAATCCTCTTCCTTGGCCAGTCAGGGATAGAGCCTTAGACAGATCACCTCACCACGTCTTCCTTTTCAGTAAAAGGAGGCGAGTAAGACCCAACTTGGCAGTTTTGGGAGGGAAGGAAAAAAACTAAAAATTACAGAACGTGCCTATCAGCTCACCTGGCACAGAAAGTACCTGGTAAATGGTAGCTATTTATTAGCACTGTATGGTTTTCAAGGTGTGCTTCTCCTACAGTTTATAATCCTTACAAAATTCTCCACTGCAGCTGATCCTGCGTTTGCTACCAGTAGTAGTTTTGGTGGGTGGAACTGGGGAGGCGCATTCAGTGGAGTGGAGGTTTTTGTGACATTATCGTGTGTTGCACTTGGGACCCTGGTGTCTTACTGATCAACTGGAACCCGCAGGTGGCGAAGCTTGAGTTTATCACCCACAGAGGCATCTGTGGCCATTCATGGCAACTTCTTGGCTTGGAAGATAAGGGTAGCTGCTCTGCTGTCTTTCAGCTGAACCTTGCTGTGGGTCCTGTGCAAATTCCCAGTAGGACCGGTAACAAAAGTTATGTTGTTGATACCTTGCTTAATAGAAAGTTTTGAGGACCCTGGGTTTGTGAATTTCCTTTCTCTTGTTTGGTATAAACTGGAGATGAGACCCCCACACACACTGGCCAATAAATTGACAGTAAGAGCAGAGATAAGATGATTACCAGTAGTGCTAATGTTTCTGTTTGTTTACTCTCAGACACATGGCTTCTCATCTGTCTGTCCGTAAGTGCTTAAACATTAGCAAGAGGAATATAACCCTTATATTTCTTGACTGTTGGATTTCACCAGACAGAATTATTTTGGTTAATATAAATTGCTTAAATATTGAGTGTAATGTACACCTTTGTTTTTTGTTTTTTGGCTTTTCGCAGTACAGAACTGGGGATTGACTGTAGGGCCTTTGCTCTGGCTACAGTTCCCCAGCCTTTAACATTTTGTTCTTATTTTGAGAGGAGATCTCAACAAGTTGCTGAATTGCCCAGGCTGGGCTCAGACTTGCAATCTTCCTGCCTCAGCCTTCCAGAGTGCTGAGCTTACAAGTGTGCAGCACCACATCTGGCTTGTACACCTCTTAATTACTTGGAAAAGTGAAGACTGGTGTTAGTGCTAGCATTTGGACGGGCACAGTTACATAATCACCTCTACAGTAGGCCTTGTCTTCCCACATCAGGATTTTTTTTTTTTTTTTGGTACCTGGGATCAAACTTGGGACCTTGCTCTTACGAGGCAGGCAACGACACCACTGAGCTAAATCCCAGGCCCCTCATATCAGGATTTAAAGTTTGAAGATTCACACCTTTGCTCTCCATCCCATGTTTGGGCCTGAGGCCCGGCAGGACAGGTTCCTGGAGTGTCTAGAGGTAGGTAGGTAGAGAGCAGCCTCTTCCTTTGCATCTGGAGCACCCTGGGGAGGCTGGAGCTGGGTCTGTGTCTCGGGGCCTCTCCTGTCACAGGGGCCCTGCTTTCTGTCCCTGGTGTTGGCGCACAGGAGACCTGGCCTCACACAGCTGCCTTGGACCTGTGTATGCGGCTGGTGCAAAGCAGGCCTTCCATGAATGGTTTTTTGTTTGTTTCGAGACGGGGGTCTCCATAAGTAGCCTAGGCAGGCCTTGAACTCTCAATCCTCCTGTCTCAGCTTTCCAAGTGCTAGGATTTCAGGGAATGTTTTAATGAATGAGGGCTTCTCTTATTTATTGTCATATCGGAAACTCTGTGCTCATAAACATACATTTTAAGATTTCTGCTTGTGTAGATCACCTTCATATTCCCAGATGGGGACTAGTGCCTGACAGAATAGGGATTTAAATATAT